CCTCCTCCCCCTCTTTCCCCTTCCCCCTCGATTTTCGTTTTTGTTTTGTTAAATAATAAACACGTGTGCGTTTTCTGTTTTTCTTTTACGAATACGTCAAAATCCCGACCGCAAATTTTGCCATAGTGGAGATCGGGATGATGGTGAGGAGGGTAGTCAGAACGGCGGTAGTTTCTGGTCGGGATCGGGGCTACTGTAGTGTCTCTATCCTCCGAATGGTTGTCGTCAACAACTGTTCGTGATTGTGGTCGGGATCGGGGCGTTGATAGTTATATACAATCGTCTTTTTTTTCAAAAAAGACAAACCGTCGTGTTAAAAAAAAAAAAAAAGAACGAAGTGCAAGGCGTCGATGTCCCCGAAAACTTTATCGGCTTAATGAGGAAAGAATATTCTCCCCCGAAAAAAAATACATCGAGGGGGTGAAAAGGAACTGGCAGGGCAAAAAATAGCCTCAACAAAGCTAAATTCGACACGAATGTGAAGGACAGAATATTCTGTAACCTTCCTCATTAGGAAAAATCCTTTCCTCATTAGGAAAAATCCATCATCCAACATACATGGGGTGTTTATATTAGGTCAATGAATGGCGGCGATCCGCGTGACAGACGTCCTTTATCTCATTTCTCCTCCCTGCCGCCATCCCTTTTTTTTTTTTTTTCCCCTTTTGAGATCTTCTTCCCTACTCCGCTCTCACATTTATGGCAATTCTCTGGTCCCTCTTCTTCTCCCGCCTCTTTTTCTTTCTGTTTTTTTTTTTCCATTTGTATACGTTCTTTTTCGTCGTCCCATCCTTCCCCCTTCTTTGCTTTGCTCCATCGTTTCCTACCCATTTTGTATTTCACTCCCCCCGTTGCCTTTCCCCCCTCGCCTTTTCCCCCTTGCCTTTCCCCGCTTGCCTGTTTGTTCATTTTTCCTACCCCCCATCCGTTTCCTCTTTATTTCCCTCCTCCTCCCTTTCCCTCCCCTTCCTTTCTCACCTCCTCATCCCCCTCCTCCCTTTCCCTCTCTCTCGCATCCGTGCCCTTCCCCGCTCCCCGCCCTTTTCTCTCCTGTCTCCATCTCGTCGTCCTTTTCTCCCATTTCTCGTTTTTTCCGCATTTCCGGTCCCCCTTTTTTTTGTCCTTTTCCCTTGTGTGATGCTCTTTCCTCTCCCTCCCGTCTCCCATCTCTCCCTCGTGTATCACCCCCCCTTTCCCCCCCTTTTTTCCCTACTTTTATTGTCTCTCGCCTCCCCGCCCCTCTTTTCCTGTCGTTCCCCGTCTTCGCTCCACCACCCACCTTCTCTCTGTCCTTTTCTTCCTCATGCCTCCCTCCCCAGTCGCTATTCAAACCCAATTACCAACTCAATCATTGCAATCATCAACCCATCCCGATCATCAACCCATATCAATCATCAACCCAACCCAACTCGATTATCAACCCAACCCGATGATTAACCCAACTCAAATATCAATCCAACTCCATCATCAACCCGACCCCAATCATCACCCGACCCCAATCATCACCCGACCCCAATCATCAACCCAACTCAATCATCAACCTAACCCAATGATTAACCCAGTTCGATCATCAACCCAACTCCATCATCAACCTAACCGAACCCTGAACCCATCTCCATCAGCAACCCCCAGCCCAATCGTCAACCCAACTATAAACCGGATCAATTATTGATTTCCATTATTATTCAGATTAGCTGGCGGTGGCGAATTATTAAGGAGGCAATACGGACTATATTTCCAAAGATTTCCAAAGGAGATAGAAACTTTTGTTTACTTGCTAAACTGACAATCACAAGGTGACACACGTGGTCGCCTTGTTCTTTCATGTATCCGTTTTGTTTGTCTTCTTTCTGTGTATGTGTGTGTGTGTGTGTGTGTGTGTGTGTGTGTGTGTGTGTGTGTGTGTGTGTGTAAATTGGGTGTTTGAAAAACGGTGTGATGATTGCAACAGTATATTCGAGGCTCGATGGGAGGCGGTCCGGGATCAGGAGGGATGGGCGGTCCCCCCCTAGGATCGGGACATGGTCCTGGGTCTGGTCCAGGGGGTCCAGGAGGAATGGGCCGAGGAAGAGGGCCGGGGATGGGAGGGAGAGGAGGGCCGTATGGAAATGGAGGGGGAGATGGATGGGGGGGTAGATACGGCCCCGGAATGGGCCCGTCTAGAGGCTCAGGTGATTGGTACTACGGTAGGGGGGGACCCACAGGTCCGAGAGGGCAGAGCAGCGGCTATGGCGGAGGCAGTTGGAGTCAGTATGGTGGATATGGAAGATATGGACTGACAGATCTGTGGCCACCAGTAGGGTATGTGTCATTTCCTTTCCCCGTCTGTCGGTTCCGCAACCCCCCTCCTCTTCCCCCTCTGTCGTTTCCGCAATCCCCCTCCCCCTCCCCCCCCCCCCCCCGCCCCTCCCCCTCAGCCTCCCCGATCCAATCGGATTTCACCTCAAGTCTACCTCATGTCCCTGTCGGGTTGCACGCATTGCCTGGTCATTTGCGCTGCTCTTCTTATAGGGTGGGAGAGTGACGAGTGATTGATACAGGTAATGAAATTGATAAGAAATTAATTTCAATTTTTCTTCTTAATTTCAATAAATAAATAAATATACGGTAGCCTGCTATTCATTCGTTCCGCCGATTAGGCGAAGCTACGGTGCCTTTCTTTCTTTCGTTTTTTTTTTTTCTTTTTTTTTTTCCCTGTTATCTAAGGCGCCTTAAAAAAAGGCGCCTTTGTTAAGCGGAAACGGGCCACTTGTTTTGGTTTGTGGGTAGTCATTGAATGAATGGAAGAGTAATTTTCAAGTTGTCGATCTCGATCCCTCCCTCCCTTCCTCCTTCTGTCCCTCCCTCCCTCCCTCCCGCCCTCCCTCTCTCCGTCTCCGTCTCTATGGGCCGAAATGTGGAAGACTTGATGAATGAGCAGTGAACCTTCAAGTTGTTCATACTCTCCCTCCCTCCCTCCCTCCGTCCCTCCGTCTCTGGGGCGCAATGTGGAATTCTCAATGAATGTTCAGTGTATTTTCTTGTTGATACCGATCCCCACTTCCCCTCTTCCCTCCCTCCCTCCCGCTGTCTCTCGTTCTCCTCCCTGCGTGCATTAATATGGAAGAGTGAATGAATGGACAGTGAAAATTCAGCCTGTTGATACTGATCTCTCCCTCCTCTCTCTCTTTCTCCTTCTCTCTCTTTCTCCTTCTCTCTCTCTCTCTCCTTCTCTCTCTCTTTCTCACTTAGTGGACCGGAAGTCAGACGAATCAGTGAATGCTTAAGTGAATCTTGACGTTGTTGATGCTAATCCCTCCCGTTGCGGCATGCATTGGGTTAACTCTGAGGCCGCAAATGGGTTAACTCTCAAGATGTAGGGTGAAGGCTAACTCTGAGGCCGCAAATGAGTTAACTCTGAGGCTGCAAATGGGTTAACGCTGAGGTTGCAAATGGGTTAACTCTTGAGGTTCCAAATGGGTTAACTCGGAAGTTGTAGGGTGAAGATTATTATGGGAGAAGCACCTCCACAGCAGAGGCCTAATTCTATTGGGAGGGATTAGCATCAACAACGTCAAGATTCACTTAAGCATTCACTGATTCGTCTGACTTCCGGTCCACTAAGTGAGAAAGAGAGAGAGAGATGGCTTTCTCTCCGTCACCCTCTCTGTCTCCGTCTGTGTGGGTCGCAATGACCTTTTAGTCGTTTCACCCGTTTCAACCTGGGTATTACAAATGAATCTGTGGGTCTGCTGTTTCTTCTTCACCCCTCTCTCTCTCTCTCTCGCGCGCGCGCGCGCGCATGGGGGCAATGGATCGGTACCATCGTCGCCCGAATACAACGCAAGTCATCATGGGTGCATCTAGAGTGAATGTTGTCCCAAATACAAGCTGTGATGACCGTGCGTTCTATTGGGGGAAAGACGGTGGTTGTTTGACTGTTTTCGTTTTGTGTGCTACTTAACAAATAGATCTGCACATTCGATTCTTTTGTATCTTTGTTTTCTTCATGCGTTCTCTTCCCGTCTCGACGTGCATTCTCTGCGTCTTCCCCTCCTCTCTCCCTCTCTGTCTGTCTGTCTCTCTCTGTCCCTCTCTTGTGACGGCCATCGACTGTGTCAGTCATACCAATTTGATCTGTGTCAATTAACAAGCTAACTGCCTGTCTGCGTGTGCAATTCTCTCTCTTTTTCTTCGTTGCCCCTCCTCCTCTCTCCTCTGTTGATTGCCTCGATGGAGATGCTTTCATGGGTCGCCTTTTGACCTAGCCCTCCATGCAGACGGATGAATCTGCGGTGTTTGCACACATGAGGGTCTTTCTTTCTCTGGAGACACACACATACACAGAAATTCTCTCTTTTTCTTCGTTGGCTCTCCTCTCTCCTCTCTTGATTGCCTCGGCGGAGATGCTTTCATGGGTCCCCTTCTGATCTACCCCTCCATGCGGAGGGATGAATCTGCGGTCTTTGCACACATGAAGGTCTTTCTTTCTCTGGACACACGCACACACACACAGACGCAGAGAGAGAGAGAGAGAGAGAGAGAGAGAGAGAGAGAGAGAGAGAGAGAGAGAGAGAGAGAGAGAGAGGTGCACATGGGTAGGCAGACCGTGCAGCAGAGAGAGACAGAGAGGGATGTTTTGGGGGGGGGTGGACATGGGTAGGCAGACCGTGCAGCAGATAGCGTCAGTCTGCCTAGAACAGTTTATTTTCTGGGTCAGGGGGATCATTGGAATCACTGCACCCTTTTGGTCTCCAACGTTTGTGATAGTCAGCTAACGGGGTGTGACAGTTCCCACCCCCTTTGCCGTGGGCCTGTGAGAGGCCCAGGTGGAAAGGAACCTTGATGCCGTCGTTGAGTGGGAAATCAGTGGGAAAGGTCCATGATCGCTTCTGCAACTACTATCGTCTTCCCCCGAACATAAAGCTCTCTAAAAATGAACGTATACAAGCTATATTTCCGGCCAGATACAGCCAAAATAATGGTGCGTTTTGTTCGGGGGAAGACGGTAGTCTGGTGACACTGACACCGACTTGTCGATCTTGAGATGAGATTGAGTGTATCCCAAGTTATGAAAAGAAAGAGGCACTAGAGTGCAATCATGGAAACCCGAGCGCTCCTCTGCTCCATGCCAGTACACTAGATGTGGCTTGGGAGAAGTCGAAACGAGTGCTCGCGAACCTTTAATATTGTCTTTACCGTGCTCTCCCCTCCGTCTATTCCCACCTCCTTTGCCGTGGGCCTGTGCGAGTCCCAGGTGAAAAGGAACCTAGGTGCCGTCATTGAGTGGGAAATCAGCCAGGTGAAAAGGAACCTAGGTGCCGTCGTTGAGTGGAAAATCAGCCAGGTGAAAAGGAACCTAGGTGCCGTCGTTGAGTGGAAAATCAGCCAGGTGAAAAGGAACCTAGGTGCCGTCGTTGAGTGGGAAATCAGTGGGAAAGGTTCTACGGGCGCTTGCATGTTGATTTGTCAGCAAGGTGTTGGGGATAACCTGGGTGAAATAATAAAAAGAAGACTTCAAAGTACGTGATTTACCTCCTTCGCTCTCTGGGCCTGTGCGAGTCCCAGGTGAAAAGGAACCTAGGTGCCGTTGGTGAGTGGGAAATCAGTGGGAAAGGTTCTATGGGCGCGCGCTTGCATATGTTGATTTGTCAGCAAGGTGTTGGGGATAACCTGGGTGAAAAAGTAAAAAGAAGACTTCAAAACTTATGTGATTTACCTCCTTTGCCCTCTCTCTCTCTCTCCTTTTTCCTTTGTCGACTTTTCATTGGTTCTGGTTGTTTGCTGCTTTCTCTCTTTGATTGCCTTTGTAGTCGTGTGTACGAATTTCTGGGTGAAAAAAAGAAGAAAAATTATTGAGAAATGATTTAGCTCCTTCCTGCTCCCTCTCTCTCCCCCCCCTTGTGTCCCTCATGTCTGCTCTATGCGTCTTTTTCTCTCTGGTCAGCCGTAATGAGGACTTTCACACTCGCGCCGTGTGACATGGCCTCGGCTGGAAAAGCTTTGCAGGTCCTCCTACTCGTGGAAATTGATATGGGTCTAGCTGCACGACAGAACATTGCACATGACCTGGACCGGATACGTTTCGACTGATTCAACACTTCGAATGTAGGGTCATTACCAGCTCCAGATACATGCCCAATGTTGTGTAGTGGAGGGAGTGAGACCCATGATTGGTATTCGCTTTTTGTTGCTTCTTTCGGGGCGTTGCACTCTTGTTAGCTTATGGATAGCTTTCCTATGTTTCCCTTTCATTGGTTTGTATGTTATGTATGGCAGATTTTCCCAGGTTTCCCTTTCAGTAGTTTGTTTGTTATGTGCTCCTCTCCTCCTCTTCTCCTACTGTCCTATATTCTCCGTAATCAATATTGATTGTTTGTTTGTCCTGTGTTTGTTCTATTCGCCTGAACCAATTTATGGCTTGTCTGTTTGTCCTGTGTTCCTTCTATTCTCCCTATGTCTGGCTTTCCCAGGTTTTCCCTTTCATTAGTTTGTTTGCTATTTGCTCCTCTCCTTCTCTCCTCCTATTCTCCTATATTCTGTTGATGATGAGGTGACGAACAGGTGGGGCTTTCCTTCCTTCTTTTTCTTTTTCTTCTTCTGTCTTTTTCCGCCTTTGCGCTCCGATTTCCAATGTGACAATATATAGTCGTCCGTTTTTTTTTTGTTGTTCGGCCTATGAGAGCATGAATGGTTTAGGAATGGGAATACCCACGTCTTGATGACGAATAAGGCCATCTGCTGGCAGACAAGAGTTTTGTCCTGGGTTGTCTTGTCCCGTCGTTTGGCCTGTGAAGGAGGGGTGGTGCTTGCATGTGGGACTTGTCATCTAGGATCCGTTTTCTTTGCTGTTGCTTGTTGCCCCTGTTTTGTTGTATTTGGTTATTCCCTTCCTCTTTTCTTTGCCTCTTTGCCCTTTGGCTGTGTGCAAGTGGGTCGATATGACACACGGGGGTGGGGCCAGCCGCCGCTCAACCTACATCCACGTGGGCGGCCTTGTACGCAAGGGGTTCTTAACAGGGGGAGTTGTAAGTAAGAAGGAAAAAAATGAATTGATGTCTTTTTTGTTTCCTTTTGTTTCTTTTCGCTTTCGCGCTCTGATAACTTTGTGACAATATATATAAAGTAGCTCTCCTTGGGTATCCTTGTGAACATCCACGTCATCCTCAGCGTGCCTGTCCTATCTGCCAGGGTGGGGGCTCCTCTTCCTGACTGATCAATAGAATCAAGCGATCAGGAGCAACAGATGTGGAGTTGAAGAAAGAAAAAAAAAAAGATTGAAACAAATCTGTGGGATGTGTTATTTGCTTTCTTCCCTCGTCTTTTCTTTGATTGGATCCTTTTCTCTTTCTCCTGCCTCTCTGAGGTCTGGTTTCCTCCTCCTTTTCTTTACCTCTTTCCCTTTTGGCTGCGTGCAAGTGGGTCCTTGTGACACACGGGGATGGGGGCAGTCAGCGCTCAACCTGTCATCCACGCGGCTGGCCTTGTACGTAAGAGGTGATGAACAGGTGGGGCTCTCTTTCCTTTCCTTTCCTTGTTTTGCTTTTTTTCGCCCTCGTGCTCTGATTCACAGTGTGACAATATAGCCTTCGGCCTTTTACGCAAGAGGTTTTGAACAGGGGAGTTGCAAGTAAGAAGACGAAAAATGAATTGATATCTTTTTTGTTTTTTTTTGTTTTTTTTTTTCGCTTTTGCGCTCTGATAACTTTGTGACAATATATAAACTCCTGATGAGTCGGCGAAACTCTGACGAAACAGTTTGTCTCAGCCCCTCGTTTGTTGTCCTCTTCTCCCTCTCTGCCTATGGTTTACCGGGCAGCTCTAAGAGGTGATGAACAGGCGGAGCTTTCCTTCCGCACTTCTTTCCATTTTGTGTTTTTTTTTTTTTTTTTTTTTTTTTTTTGCCTTTGCGCTCCGATACACGGTGTGACGATATATAGCCTCCTAACGAGTTGGTGAAACTCGCAACGGAACAGTTTGTCACAGCCCCTCATTTGGTGTCCTCTTCTCCCTCTCTGCCTAAGGTTTACTGGGCAGCTCTGTTTGACGATATATATAAGATTGTTTGTTTGTTCTGAGCTTTTCCTATTCTCCTTAACTAGTATATATAGATCGTCTGTTTGTCCTGTGTTTCTTCTCTTCTTCTTGATTCTTATAGGTTGTTTGTGTCTTGTGCTTTTCCTATCCTCCTTAGTGAAGGTATTGGCTATTTCTTATCTGTGGCTCCTTTTTTCTTTTGTCCGATTTGTGTTTTCAATCCCTGCATAACCAATAGAAATGGGGTGCATTGAAAGCCGGTGCATCTGTTCTCTGTGGCCAGTAGGCAAAATGAATGGTTTGTTGGTTGTGTGTGCGTCACCTTATGTGTGAAGTTGTTATCTATTCTCTTCTTTATAAGGCTTTCTCTGTGGATATTGTCTCGGTTGCTTTCCCCTGCTTTGTTCTTCTTCTGTGTTTTTCCTATTCCTCAATCAGTTGAGTGCTATTCATTGTTTAAGATTCTTGCTGTGTACCTCTGTTTTCCCCTTGGTTAAAAGAAGTAACAGTTTTGAGATGTAGCCATGTGTGTGCAGTAATGTACTGGAAGTTGGAATTCACAGCCTTTTCCCAGCTTGGTTCTTGTTCTGTGCTTTGCCTGTTCCTTCGACCAGTAGAGTGCGCTTCATTGTTTGAGGTGCTTGCTGTGGTCTCCATTTCCCCCCTTGGTTAGAAACAAGTGATAAGATTTTGGGATGCAATCACGTGTGCAGGAATGCGCTGGAATTTGATATTGACAGCCTGGATGAGAAACCGTGGAGACGGCCGGGCGCAGATATCTCCGATTACTTCAACTATGGTTTCACGGAGGCCACCTGGAAATTGTACTGCAAGCAGCAGGTACTGAACAGAATCCCCCTTCGCCCCTCTCTTCCCTCTCGCTTTGTCTTTTGCCATTTGTTGAGGGGTTACCCCGAACAATATTTACGTATATAAATCTGATTCCGTTAGGTTTTGAAACAACTCATGAGATGTTTGCTAACGATTATTTACATGCGTTCCATGCGTGTAGCAATCAGCCACGTGGGCTGGTGTAGTGTAGCCTGTTGTCTCTTTCAGTATGCCAGCCTTTGCCTTTTTCTCGTTTGACATGCTCCATGTAGATGTCGGTTCCGATACTCCGACGAAACAGTTTGTCACAGCCCCTCGTTTGTTGTCCTCTTCTCCCTCTCTGCCTACGGTTTACCGGGCGGTTCT